GGGGGGGGGGGGGGGGGGGGAGCTCTCTATACTATCTTATTACCCACTTCATAAATGGCACGTTACAAAAGAAAACGATGGCTGAACTCAAAACATTAATTTAGTAACGGATTAATTTCTTGTCCTAAATTTGAGAGGAGAACAAACCTTCCTTACCATGGAAACATCTATGTAATAGACACTTTTTAAAATCGTGAAGTTGACGGTGATATGGGTCAAAATGAACAATATCTGTTAGCGGTGGGTTCGGGTTGTTATAAACGGTATCAGAGTTAGACACCGTGGGCTGACGGTGATGCGTTTTAAAATTGTGAGGCTGATGGTGATACATAACAGGTCAAATGAAAAATATCTGTTAGCGGTGGATTTGGTTTGTTACAAACTATATTAGAGCCAGACACTCGAGGGTAACTAGTGAGGACATTAGGTCCCCAATGGAGAGGATTGATTAGGTCCCCAATGGAGAGGATTGATTAGGTCCCCCATGGAGAGGATTGTGAAATCATTTCTTGTAAGGACATGGAAACCTAATGTGAGACTGACGACGATAAGTAACGGGTCAAATGTTAGGCCTCTAACAGAGTGGATTGTGAGATCATTTCTTATAAGGGTGTGGAAAGCTAACCATGAAGTTGATAGCAATAAGTAATGGGTCAAAGCGGACAATAAAGTGTTTCAAAGAAGGGTTATCTTAATGTAGATCAACTTAAGTTAAATGGAATCTCTATCGTCCTGCTTAAAGCATAAAATATGAAACTTCATACGCCTCAAAGTTGTTCATAAGATAGGACGAAAGATAATTTTGTCTGAGGTCCTGATACTCATTATGCCTACATTGAATAGACTGGGTATTCACCTTATCCATATCTCAAATCAATGATGGATTTTTTTAGTGTCTAAATGGGGCACTCGGACCGAACCTTTCTTTTGAAGAAAAACATTGGTGCGCATGTAAACGAATAAGTAATGGGTCAAAGCAGACAATCTCTAGCAATACTTGTACACGAATAAGTAATGGGTCAAAGCGGACAATCTCTAGCAATACTTGTTGCTCTATAATAGGTACTTATTAGTTACTTTAAACAATTAAAAAATTAAAAAAAAAAATCTGAACTTTTTTCATATCAACGATGGTCACATGAAAATTGCACCCTATCTCTGAAAAGTAGGATCCACACGAAAACAAGTGACACTCGTATTCTCTTTTTGCATTTGGTAGGTAAACTCTATGCATTGATGTTGAAGACAATAACGACCGTTTTGTCGACTTCGATATAGTAGTTAACAGGTCAACTACTAAATGTTGCAAATAATGTTAAATAACTTTATTCGACAGTAAATTTCATCATGCAAGTGCTTGTAATTTAAGCACAGTGAAAAAAGAGAGGAAGTGAAGGTAAAACCATAGAAAATAGTAATTCATCTATATATGTCTAGGCCTCCCAACCCCTCAAGAGGGTAGCACGAGCCACACGGTTGACAGCCAAAGTGAAAGCACCCATACGAAGATTGCAGTTATGTGATTTGCACATGCTCTTGATATTATAGAAAGCTCTTGTCATGTACCTTTGAAGCTCCTTGTTCACCTTCTCTTCATCCCACATGAACCCCTGAATATTCTGCAAACTTACAACAATTGCACCTCTTAGCTACCACTTAGTTCACTTTTTTTTTTTTTGTTGTTCTTGTTTTTCTCCCTAAGCTCAAACAAATTCACAACGTTCTCAAGAAATGAAGCAAATTGGTTGGAACGTAATGTGAATTGTTGTCTAGATTTGCATGTTTTTCTAATGCTACATGTTAGGAATCACGACTCTCCATAATGGTATGATATTGTCCATTTTGAGCATAAGTTCTCCTGGTTTTGCTTTGGGCTTCCCCAAAAGGTCTCATACCAACGGAGATAGTATTCCTCACTTATAAACCCATGATTTTCTTCCCTTAAATTAACTAAGATAGGACTCACTCCTAATAATCCTCAACACTAGATTATTCCGAGACGCGTTATAAAAAAGAACTAACTAATTGTTACAATGATACATCAAAAACTTTGTACGAGGTTGAAATCACAGCATCATAGTTTTCATGTTAACCTACATATCATATATTTTAAATCCTATTCTACTCTTTCAAATATTATTCGGAGAATATTATACATTTAAAACTTACTAGATTAAAATATTGAAAACTTCGAAATTATGTTTGGAGACTAAAATTGTAACAGCCCAACCCCACCACTAACAGATGTCCGTTTTAACTCATTATAAGGAGACGTTTCCACACCCTTATAAGAAATGTTCGTTCCTCTCTCCAATCAATGTGGGATTTCACAATCCATCCTCCTTTGAGAGACCTAACGTCCTTGTTGGCACACCACCTAGTGACTAACTCTTATACAATTTGTAAGAGCTCAAGTCTACCTTTAGCAGATATTGAAGGCTTTAACCCGTTGCATATCACATCAGCCTCACGGTTTTAAAATGCATCTACTAGAGGGAGGTTTCCACACCCTTATGAGGAATGTTTCGTTTCCTTCTCCAACCGACGTAAGATCTCACAAAAATAGAATTTAAGCCTATATTAAGCGCAAAAGTCTTCATGTTTAGTGTGATTGTTACCTGAACCCACTCAAAATAGCTAACGGTGACTCCACCAGCATTTGCATAGATGTCAGGGAGTATTATGACTTCTTTCTTAGATAGGATCTGTAGCAATGAAATCATAACTGTCACAAATTTAAGCATACGCATGAATCCAAGATTAATTAGAAACATTACCTCATCTGCTTCTGGATCAGTAGGGTGGTTAGCTGCCTCTACTATAAACTTTGCTCTCACACCACCAGCATTTTCCCTTCAGTTGGAAAAAATGGAATTAGCAAGACACATTGAGTTGCAGAAGTTAACCTCAAATATACAATGCAAACCATACATAAATGTATATACATATCTTCAAAGTAATCAAGAGTTTCAAAAGTATTTGACAGCAGAGGAGGATTTGTGGATGAGAAAGATGGTAGACCTGTTCAAAACTCCACCTAAAGCACATGGGATAAGAACATCACATTCATGAACTAGAAGTTCATTCGGATCCAAGCCATCTGCACCTTGGAAATTTACGAGACTATTGGTCTTTTCTCTGTGTTCAAGCAGGTCGAATACATTGATCCCATTTGGATTCTTTACAGCGCCGGTGATATCACTCACTGCAACAACCTTTCCTCCTTTTTCATGGATGAGTCTTGCAACCCAAGATCCCACGTTACCAAATCCCTATTAATTTGTAGTCCATAGAGGTTTCTTCAATTGAAATTTGAAAGAGAACACAAAACATTGTCAACAAGACCATTAAGTTTGCACGTTTGAATTCTATATGTACCTGAATAACAAATGTTAAGTCTTTGATTTTCTTTCCATGCTCAGCAAGTAAAGCTTCGGTAGCAAAAACAACACCACGCCCTGTTGCAGCCTCTCTACCAAGGGAACCACCAAGGTCCTATAATTGAAAAATGTATGAGAGAGGGATCAAATCAATTCAGTGATATTCGTCAAACACAGAGCAGTTTCTTGAATTTTCAAGTCTTAATCACTTACTAAGGGCTTCCCCGTCACAACAGCAGGCGAGTAACCATGAAACTTAGAGTACTCGTCCAAAATCCAGGCCATTGTCTGCACAAATCATTTGGCTTCAAATTCATAGCAGCAGCAGGAAAATCTAAGCATAATCAATCATCCTGCCGAAATATTTGAAAGCAGCTCAAGAAAAATTAAGGATACTATTGAACCTGTAAACTATCTGAACTAAACCTGTGCATTTGTGCCCATATCTGGTGCCGGAATGTCCGTATGTATGCCAATAAGGTCATGGATCTTCTGAGTAAATACACGAGTAAGGCGTTCCAATTCACTCATACTTAACTCTCGTGGAGTGCATCCAATCCCACCCTTTGCACCTCCATAAGGAATATCTGCTACGGCAGTCTTCCATGTCATTAGTTGAGCCAGAGCATTTACTTCATCAGGGTTGACCTTTAGTAGCAGAATTGAGCAATTCAATAGTCCATTATGAGGATGTTCATATGTAAACATCCTAAGTCTCTTAGTAACAGCTCAAGAACATTACTTGTAAATCAGAAGGCTCAACCTTTTAGTAACAAATTTTGACATTCAACTATGTATGGTAGCAGTATCTTGTCACTTCTCATTGCAAGTACTTGAATGCGCATAAAAAATCCTTGCACGTCTCACTACTATTTAGATGACTTTTTGGAAGTGGAACTTTTTAAGTGCAGTACTTACTCGATAAACACAAAAGATGTTCTTGAGAGTGTTCTTAAAATAAATGCTTTTTGGCAAGAGTTTTTTTTATTTTTATTATAACCACTTTAGTAAATGGTGTTTAACAACAAATAATCTTACACTCGGATCATCGGGTGCTCGAGTCAAACGTACTTCAAAGATTGCCTTCCAACTTTTTCATAAAACAATTTTATCTTCTTTTCAAACCACTCTCAGACCTAACTGATTGAGTGCATCCAAAACAGACCGTTAGACGAACATGACTCTCTACAATGGTACGATATTGTCCACTTTGAGCATAAGCTCTCATGGCTTTGCTTTGGGCTTCCCCAAAAGGCCTCATTCCAATGGAGAGAGTATTCCTTGATTAAAAACCCATGATCATTCCCTAAATTAGCTGATGTGGGACTTTCATCATCCAACACAGACAATCTATAGGTGTTTTAGAATGTCCAAAATTACAAATGATGATATTACAAAAAGAACAACAATAGCTACCTGTTGCCTGATAGAAACTAACATCATTTTCTTAGTCCAACAAATGTGGTGGGGAGATGAACCTCTGATCCGATGAAAAAAAAAAGACTTAACCGATGAACTATGCACATGCTACCACAGAAATTAGAATCGTTGATAGTGTTTAACATGTCAAAAGTTCTCATCCAGAAACCAAAACGCACCAAATGACATCTTCACTTGCAAATCAAATAAGATAAACAGAAAAGAACAATCGCACATAGTGATCAAAAAATTAAAAAACAACGAAAACACAAAAACTGATCCCATCAATTCAACAGAAGCACACGAAGGAAAAATTCAGTCACCTCAGGATGGTATCTGATTCCTCCTTTCATCGGGCCACGGGCATTATCATGTTGAACCCTAAACCCCACATAAGACACCAAACTCCCATCGTCCTTCGGAATCGTGCACTCAACCTGTCGGATCATCAAAATCAAAACAATCAGAGCCTCTAAAATCAATCTCAAAACAATAACAGAAGAACAACCTTGATTTCTCTGAACGGGATCAGAAGACTCTTCTCGATCTTTGAGTCCAGACCTAGAATCCGCGCCGCGTGCCGCAAATTGCGACTGGTAGAAGCTAAGGCGTTCATGATGGCGAAGAAATTGAAAAACCTCGAGGAACGGAATGGAATCGAATTGAAAAGAGAGAAGACACCCGATCGGGAAAGGGAAAGAGTGATGATTTGAGAAAGCGGAATTGATTGCGATGGTATTGAAAATGGAGAATCGTAATAGAAATCAGTTGCAGCTGAAAGCGAGGCGAGTGCCGCTTAATATCACCTTCAATTTCGAGATCAACGTTGCCCGCTTCCGCCATGTCAATACACTTGGAACTTCACTAACTAACTGTCAGCTTACAGTTTCGCCGTTTTATAGTTTTCTGTTTTTTCTGTTCATTTTTATTTTTGGAGGGCGATAGGATTAAACAATATTATAATCTTAATCTTTGAATTAGTATATTTATTTTTAATATGTTTTTTCAATTTCATGTTGAAGAAAATTTTAATATATTTAATATATATTTTTTAAAAACAAATTAATGAATTTCAAGATTTAGAAGCTTTTTTTTTTAATTTTTTTTTACGAATTGGGAAGTTAACTTACCTATCGATGTATAAGGATCTGTTCTAGCCGTCACTGTCGTATTTCAAGATTCTCATTCGGACATTAAGAAAAGTTAAATATTTCCCGACAATATATATATATATATATATATTACACTTACCACCATTTATAAGAGTGTGGAAACCTTCCCTTAAAGGAAAGTCCAAAGAGGACAATATCACTAGCGGTGAATCTGGGCCGTTACACAGTATAACAAGTAGATCACGAGATAAAAATGATTGTATCAACAATATAATAATATTTAAAATTCATAGAAAATATAATTTATTATCGAGACAAAAATAAAATTGATATAATTTAAAATATATATATCAAAATTGAGGGTTTTGTTATATTTATAAATTAAAAAAATTAATTTCTTAATATTGCAAATTATATGCACTTGTCTCTATTAAAAAATTTATTGGACAAAAAAAATGCAATATAAATTAATTTTTAAAATATTCATATAAATATACAAAATTTTCAATTTTTTTCTAGAAAAACTAATTAAATTTTGTTAAATATATTGGCAAACAACTAACCAAAGAAAATTTGCCACGTGTCGTAATTTAAAACGAGTCCCTCTCTAACGTTGTAACTGTTCGTGAAACTAACTGCCACTGTCCTCTTATTCGTCAAATTTCAAGCATTTTATCTGATCAAACTGTTTGGCTATAATTTTCACTTCTTTTCTTTTCCCTTAAGACTGATCTGTGTAACTTCCCCTCCATTTTCTTCTTCAATGTTCTTCAAAATGGCCCCTACTTCCCTGGCTTATCGCTTCCGACAATCCGTTGCCCCGACCGCCCTCCGATCCTATGCTGCCGAGTTCATCTCCACCTTCTTCTACGTCTTCTTCGTTGTTGGAGCATCAATCGCCTCCCGTAAGTATCACTACCCATTTACTCGTTTCTCTCGATTTCAACAATAACATGTCGTGCCTAATAGTTCTGTGACCGAGCCCGCTCCTAATCGTTGCGTTCGTATATCCGGGTTGTGTGGGTTGGGGGGGGGGGGAGGGGAGCATCAATCGCCTCCCATAAGTATCACTACCCATTTACTCCTTTCTCTCAATTTCAACAATAACATGCCATACCCTAATAGTTCAGTGATCGAGCCCACTCCTAATCGTTGCGTTTGTATATCCGAGTTGTGGGGGTTGAGGGGGGATATGTATTCGTATCACCCGTGTAGATTTGATTCTATCTATGCTTAGAGTCGATGATAAAGGCATAGGAGCCTGTTTACTTCGGAAAAAGTTAGAAATTCAAATTTTGCCGTGGACTGAATTTTGTTTTTTTTTTTTTTTTTTGTATATGGTAGGGAAGTTTGTGCCCGGGGCTGCTGCAACCGACCCATCGAGCCTTTTGGTGGTGGCTATAGCCAATGCCTTTGCTTTGGCCTCAGCCATTTACATTGCTGCCAACGTCTCTGGCGGACATGTCAACCCGGCGGTGACGTTCGGGATGGCAGTCGGCGGCCATATCAGTGTTCCTACCGCTCTCTTCTATTGGTTTGCTCAAATGCTTGCCTCTATCATGGCTTGCATTGTTCTTAGAGTCACCATTGTTGGACAGGTAAATAATTGGCTTATTAGATCTCGGGATTGAAAAAGCTTTTGAGTTGGGTGGTGGTTTAACATGGTCCGTATGAAACTTTTTTCTAGCGCGTTCCAAGCTATGTCATTGCCGAGGAGATGACGGGCTTCGGAGCATCGGTGGTAGAAGGTGTATTGACGTTTGCTCTAGTGTACACTGTTTTTGTCGCTAGTGACCCGAGAAGAGGTCCATGCAATGCGATCGGCGCTGTGATGGTCGGGCTGATGGGCGGAGCCAACGTGCTGGCTGCCGGGCCATTTTCCGGTGGATCGGTGAACCCAGCGTGTGCGTTCGGGTCGGCAATTGTGGCTGGGAGTTTCAAGAACCAGGCAGTGTACTGGGTTGGGCCGTTGATCGGAGCAGCTCTGGCCGGGATTGTTCACGATAATGTGATTTTTCCGACCGAAAATGTAGATTCATTCACAGGGGTTCCTGAGGTTGTTGCTGTGTAATTTTTAAGGTTTGGTTTAAAATTTAATATTTTTAGTTAAATTATTGTAACCATCTGCTGGTTTTATGTATCTGAAGCTTATTGCTAGTATATATTATCTGTTGTGGCTCGTTATTTATCGTCGTCCGCCTCACTGTTTTAAAACGCATTTGCTAGAAAGAGGTTTTCCATGTGGGTATCAGAGCCAGTCACTAGATAGTGTGCCAACGAGAATGTTGGCCCCTAAGAAGGGTGGATTGTGAGATCTCACATCGATTGAAGATGAGAACTAAACCTTCGCTAGCAGATAACCCAAAGCGAATAATATCCGCTAGCGGCGAGCTTGTGTTGTTACACTTTTTTATTTTTTGGTAATCAAACAATACCTAAGCTCAAATGATGTCGAAGTGTTTTTAATTTTTTTTTTATTGTTCAAGGTATTATTACAATTTTTAAAAATAAATAAAATAGAAAGTTTAATGATAATTTCTATAATTTAGGAAATAAAACAAAATAAATGTAAAATTTTTAATTTTCCTTTTTAATTGTTTAAGGGTGTTATTATTATTTTTTTTTTGGAAATTAATAAACAAAATAAGAAATTGATAATTTTTATAATTTAGGAAATAAAACAAAATAAACGTAAAAAGTATTTTTGTTTTGTTTTTTTTTTAATTGTGTAAGGATAATGATATTATTAAATTTTTTTAAAAAAATTAATAAATAAAATAAAGTTTGTTTATAATTTAAGAAATAAAAATAAACTTAAAAGTATTTATTTATTTATTTTTATTGTTTAAAGCTATTATTAATTTTTTTTGAAAATTAATAAACAAAATAGGATGTTTATTGACAATTTCTATAATTTAGGAAATAAAACTAAATAAAATAAATAAATAAAAATAAAAAAACCATCCTCCCGGGTTTTTTATTCTTTAGCTCACTCCGGTCTACGTATCCAGAGCTGAAAACCACACCTTCATCTCCGGTGAAGCTAATCTCACAGTTTACACCAATGGCGGTGGCTCCCTTCTCCACCAGTTTATTCCCGCCATTTCCTTCTATCTTCAAAACCTCATTATTCACCATTAAATCCTTCAAAACTCGTTCAACTTCCTCCCTCATACTCTCCCAATTTTCACTCGAAACCCACCACAAAAAACCTCCAACCGCCGACCCACCGGAATTTGACGGCACTGGCGCCGCCGCGCCCACCCGAGGCGACCGATTCCTCGAACACCATCATTCCGTCGAAGCTGTCAATTTCGTGCTCAAAGAGAACAAGAAGAATCGGAAAAAAAAGAAGGATAAGGCGTTGAAGGTTTCTTTGGCGGTTGCTTCTTGTTATGGCTGTGGTGCTCCGTTGCAGACCTTGGAATCGGATGCTCCGGGTTATGTAGAACCGGAAACCTACGAATTAGTACGTACTTCTCGATGTATTATACTTTTCCAGTTTCTGGACCTGGTAGTGGGGGTTTAGATTTGATTCTGGGGCTTTCGAGAGGTTAGTTTATAGGCTATTTAAGAAGATATATTTAGGAACTGTGCCATTTTCCCCTCAGTTTTACTGGATTTTTGGTGCTGATTTGAATTTGAGCGGATAGGATTATATGATATGAATTGTCTAGACTGCAGTTTTTACGAAAATACTGTTAAATTTTATGGTCTTATAGTGATCTTGTAGATTGGAGCATGCTCTTGAATTACATTTGTTTGATGTCTGTTTATGGGCAGAAAAAGAAGCATCACCAACTTAGAAGAGTTATATGTGGGAGGTGCCGCCTCTTATCTCATGGTCACATGATAACTGCTGTGGGTGGAAATGGAGGTTATTCAGGAGGAAAGCAATTCATCACGGCCGAGGAGCTTCGAGTAAAGCTGTCTCACTTACGTTACGAGAAGGCTTTGATTGTGAAATTGGTAAGCCTAGGCTGTCTGTCCTTTTTGATTTACCCTGAAGTGAAGTCGAGATATGCGCAGTTTCCGAGTTTAATATGGGGTTTCTACCTCTTTTTCTGGCAATGTGTTTAGGTTGATATAGTTGACTTTAATGGAAGTTTTTTGGCACGTGTGCGTGATCTTGCTGGTGCGAATCCAATAATACTGGTGGTCACTAAGGTGGTATTTTTCATTTTTATGTCAGGTCTCATGATTTTATTGATGAATAGCGAATAACTTCCCTTCATGTTCTTCGGACTAATAATGATTTATGTAGGTCGATCTCCTTCCCAAGGGGACTGATCTGAACTGTATTGGTGATTGGGTTGTGGAGGCCACTGTCAAAAAGAAGCTTAGGTAAGTTGGATTATTTTTGGCCTAGTGGAATGTCTTTCCATCTACATCATTTTGAAAGTATCGTACATTCTTTTGTGGAATACATCTTATACAAGAATCGATCTTACATTAATGAAAGCGTTCATAAAAGTTTTAGTTAATGTGATTTATCGTTCTGTCAGAGCAAGAGCACGATCTTTGTGATCTAAAGTTTCTAGTTGGACTTCTATATTGTGAAGAATTGTTTAAACTTTGTAGTGTTCTGAGTGTCCATCTGACGAGCTCGAAGTCTTTGGTTGGAGTAGCTGGAGTAGTAGCGGATATTCAAAAGGAGAAAAAGGTTTGTACACGTTCACTCTGATAAATTTCACAAGTCAACCAGCCAACTACTTTGATATAGTCTAACTATTGGCCTCATGCAATATTTAATAGGATCATGGAAGTGTTAGGAAGTTTAAAAGTTCATTATATCAGCACTAATAACCATAGTAATCCAGCCACAAGTTCTATATCTACATAGTTTTTAAGTTTTAAAGTAGGTATCTTAACTAGTATGCACTTTTTCCTTTCCTTACTGGTTGCATATTTGAGTTTATGTTCTCAAATTCTGCTTGTCTCTGCTTTTTTTTTATAAGAACATGCTGTCCCTGTTTTATTACCCCCTATTTACTACTGAACCTTCGATTTCATTTTTCTGGTGCAGGGGCGGGATGTCTACATTCTGGTTAGTATACAATTATTTTTAAACAAAATAGTTGTTACGGTACACATATCATTTATCTTCACTTCCAATAATAAATTGATAAATAATTAATATAGAAGTTAATAATGTGAGAGTACTAATAGGGTTATTTTGGGAATAGTTATAGAGTAAGGGTCTAATGGTAATTTGTTAGAGATAGTTTGGTTATAAATAGGAGTTTAGGAAGAGGTCATATTTTTGGTACGTCCCACGATCAATCCCTCTCGAAAGGCTATTGTTATCATAATTTATTCTTGGATAGTGCAACATCGTTCCATCTTTGTGTTACTTGTGTTTGGTATCCTCACAAATAGATAACTGAATATTTATTCGCATAAAATAGGAGCAAAACATAATTTCAATGAAATTTGACATTTGTTTATTTATTATTATTATTATTATTTAAATTGATTCATATGCTACTAATCACATGTAAAACCAAAAACATGCCCCATTATGTAGAAAAACCAGGTTAGGCCGCACTATTCTCAAATCCTACAAGTTTCATTATAGGCTTCTACTTTCTTCTTAATCAAATTTTATTACCAATTGTGGCTGCTCGGACGACCTCTTCTCTTAGAATTTGAAGATAACACGGGAAATAGCTTTTCGTTATTTTTCTTCCGGTTTCTGAAAAATTTGTTTTGAGTTTACATGTCATCATGACTTTTGTAGATAATATGATAACATGATTAATGAGACTTCATTTTCACTTGACATGCATGTAGGGCTCAGCTAATGTTGGGAAGTCTGCTTTCATCAACGCTTTGTTGAGTGAGTATCTTTTCCTTCTATTATCTATATAGCATTCACAATATTATTGAGGGATGCTGAGTATATGCCAAGCTTTGATAGGGTGACACTGTGTCTAATGTTCCAATTATTTCTTTGCTGATTTGTAATTAGTAATTTTGTGACTAATCTATATGCCCCTTTCAATTTCGTTCCAATTTTTTAGAAGTTTCAATTTTATCCTTTATGTATTAAGTTATTTCAGTACTATAATGTATAGTAGGATTTTTGTGGGTCTGTTTTCTTTCTTTTTTACAAGATGTGTGAACTTGAAGCAACCAGCTAAAGACTTCCTATAGAAACAAACCAACAAACCTGATGGGTCCATTTTCGACAACAATCCAGTACTAGTTTAGGGTACGTGAGGAGAAGATAATATAATAGGGTTGTCCATTAAATTTGGCGTGGAACCAATTCACGCCATGATAAAGATTTAAGGGAAGCATTAAGCAATGAGAAGTGTGGTTCTAATGATAGTGGTGTTCCAAGTAATTTAATTGTGGAAGTAGTCAAGAAATTGGTATTGCCGAGGAATGAGAGCTTTAGGAAGGTGGGGAATATTATAGGTCATGGAGGCCAAATGACACCCAAATTTCTTACACTGATCATCTTAATGGTAATGAAACTCGAGCTTATACTCTTTTCAAGAGTCGAACTATAGTAAACGAGCTCAATGATGCTTGTCTTGGAATCTGCATGGTGTCCTTCAACTGATTAACTTGAATCCAGTTTCCACTTTTTAGCCTACTCTTTTCTGGTAGTTCGATTGCTGTCAGTTTTCATGGCCACAATCAACTTCTTAAACTAACGGTTGATGGCAGAAAAGATGGCTGAAAGGGATCCGGTTGCCGCAGCAGCTCAAAAATACAGACCCATACAATCTGCTGTTCCTGGAACTACTTTAGGTCCAATACAAATTGATGCTTTCTTAGGAGGAGGGGTATGTGTTAGTATTACTGAATTTTTGTATATGAAGTTGCCTCATGTACCCATATATATATACACACACACTGTCCTGTTCGCCTAATCTGTGACTCCAATTTCTATAAAATCGAGAAACATATTCATTCTAGGGAAGTGATTAGCATTTTTTCGTTTGCAGAAAATATTTGACACACCTGGAGTCCATCTCCACCATAGGCTAGCTGCGGTCGTTCATTCCGAAGATCTTCCTGCCCTGGCTCCTCAAAGTCGTCTGAGGGGTCAAAATTTCCAAGTATGCAGACTTGTTCTATAATAGTTACCCTTTGCTTTAATCAGTCTTAACCTTATCCTGTGTCAGGTTGATCAATTAGCAACTGACAATGAAATGGGAAGCAAGGACTTATCCAGTGGGTTGAATGGATTTTCTATATTTTGGGGAGGTCTTGCGAGAGTAGATTTACTAAAGGTCTTAATTTCAGCTGTTAAAACTTTTTTTCTGTCTTCAGAAATGTTTTTTTTTTTTTTTTTTTTTTTTTTTTTTT